ATCCTGTCACAGACTCCTGTTACAGACAGCCTTGTACTTCAAGATTTATTTTGAAATGTCCTTTTTGACAATGAATTCAACACCATTCATCTTGATTGTATTATTTCTGGTATAGTAAATCATATGGTTTTCTGATTCCAAATGGCTTATACCAGTCCATTCCAGCAAATTAATATGTAGGATCATCATATTTATGTGTTCCATTTCATTTTTGACAACTTCCAATTTTCCTAGCTTCATACTTGGCACATTCCAAGATCTGATCATTAGATTTTGGTAGCTGTTTCTTCTTACCTTTAGTTGGGCAAATAAAGCAAATAAAGATGCTGAAGGCTCCCCTGCCACAGGGCTTATTCAATGCATGTCACCATGGCCGACTCCCTTCTGAGAAAGCAGCCCCTCCTCAGTCACAGCTCACTGCCCTCTGACCCGAGGGGTCCATTCTCTAGCACCACCTCTGACAATGCTCTACTTCCTTCAGTATTTGACAGTGTTTCAAAGCTATGCGTAAGGTTTTTACTTCTTCTGAAATTGGTAGCCAATTCCTCCTTCATTGTCAGTTCTTAGTATACATATATACATCTATAGAGCTTTACCTCAAATAAGTGTCTCATGGAGTTGTAGAGGCTGGCAAGGTTCAAGTCCATGGGCAAGATGTTAGGCTGAAGGCTTCTTCTCACTTGTAGCTGCATGACCTGATGAACCCCAAATCAGCAGGTCAGAGGGAAGGCTGCTGACTGCAGAGGTGAAAGAATCCAAATTGGCAGATAAAATGGCAGGCAGCTGACTCACAGGTTGCAGAGGCTAATCATGATCTGGTCTGGTAGGCAATATGGCAACTTACTAGTTCAGGTCCAAAGGATGGGAAGTTCAGATGATGTTAAGTTAGATTCAGGATTCATATCCAGGAAACAATAAGATATCTTTACCAGGGAAATAATCTATATCATAATTTGGGTGCATAGTGTCTGAAGTCTTAAAAGTGTGCAAGTGGTGTAGGATGCCTAGTGGGACTAAAGCAAGGGCAATGTAGCAGCAAAGAATTACTAAACCCAAATGACATCTGAACATGATGGTGGGACAAGATGAAAGTAAAAGGAAATAGTGGAAAGAACCAGGAGGAAAAGGACATTTGTAGAGGTCTAAATACAGGCATGTACTCCCTCAACCCAAGAACACTAACATTCCGGCATCCTGTGATGGTCACCTTCCCGACATGATTGCTGAAGACAAAATGGGTGCATAAGTAAACGTGGTGAAGAAAGCTGATGGTGCCCAATTATTGAAAGATATAGCATCTGGGGTCTTAAAGGCTTGAAGATAAACAAGTGGCCATCTAGCAGAAAAGCAACAAGCCCAGAAGGAAGAAGCACACCAGCCTGTGGGGTCAGGTACCCAGTCACCTATGACCCAGAACAAAATCATACCCAAGGTGAATGGGGTTGGGAGAGGGCATGGAGCGGAGACCCAATGCCTATCTGTAGACATTGGACATCCCCCTACAGAGGGGTCACAGGGAAGAAATGAGCCAGTCAGAATGTGGTATAACACCGATGAAACACACAATTTTCCTTTAGTTCTTTGGTGCTTCCCCACTATCATGACCTCAATTCTCCCTTACAAATCGGATTAGACCACAACATGCACACTGCTACAGACAAGAGCCCACAACACGGAATCCAGGATAGATAAACCCCCCAGGGCCAACAATGAGAGTAGAGATACCAGGAGGATTAGGGGAGGGTGGGGGGAGAAAGGGGGAATCAATCACAAGGATCAACCTATTATCCCCTCTCAGGGGAACAAACAATGGAAAAGTCGGTAAGGGGTGATGGTGGGCAATGTAAGATATGAAAATAATAATCTATAATTTATCAAGGGTTTGTGAGGAAGGGCGGGTGGAGGAGGGAGGGGAAAGAAATGGGGCACTGATATTAGGGGCTCAAGTGGGAAGAGAACGCTTTGAAAATGATGATGGCAGCATACGTGCAAATGTGCTTGACACACTGGATGAATGTATGGATTGTGATAAGAGATGGAAGAGCCTCCAATAAAAGTATTTAATAAAAAGTGTGCAAGTGGCTATCTAATCTGTAACTATTGGTTTCCACTTGTATGGAGCAAAAGAGAATAAAGGAAATCAATGGCTCAAAGAAGAAATTGTTCTAGAAAAAAATAGTCTCTATTGCTGACAAAGAAAATTAAAGAGACTTATTGAAACAAATATGGCATTCAAGTGGGGGTAAGGGAGATACGAAAACTTTAGTGTTGGAAGCTCAAAAATTCCCGAGGAAATGGCATAAATCACACACAATTATATAGCAGTAGGAGGAACTACAATCTCAACATTCAGACTGGTTACATTGACTGAGGCTACTCAAAGTCAGGATGAAACAAAGTATGATCTTTCACATTATTGGTTATATTAATGTAACTTGTACATATTGATTGACTAAAATGCATAATGACAAACGTTTATAATTTTAGAGGGTGTTGCATTGCTTTCTCAAAATAATTGTATGCTGGTGACATGACGTTTAATGTTAAAAATATTTGCTAACCATTACCTTGCCCAAAAACATTAGATCTCCTAGAAATCTGTGTTAGTGTGGGTTGACGAGAGCAGTGGTTCTCAACCTTCCTAATGCCGCGACCCGGAACCATACAATTATTTACATTGTTACTTCATAACTATAATTTTGCTACTGTTATGAATTAGATGACCCCTGTGAAAGGGTCGTTGGACCACCAAAGGGGTCACGACCCACAGTTTGAGAACTGCTGGACTAGAGAAACATATCTAGAGACACTCATATGTGTGTAAGAGAGAGCTTTATATCAAAGAGCAATTGTATATTGAGAAAACATCCTAGCCTTGTCCAGATAAAGTCCAAAAGTTTGATATTAGTTCATATGTCTGATACTAGTCCATAAATCCTCTTCAGATTCATACAGCACATACAATGACACTGAAGGCAGAAAGATCACAGGCTGGTGGGTGGAAAGTTTTATGTACCCAATATTGGTGGAAGCATCTCAGCGCTGGCTCCCTCAGCTCTCTGAGTGTGCCTGGCTTCTCCACAGGAAGATGAAACAGAGAGAGTGTGTCTCACCTTCAGCTTGAAAGAGAGGAAGTTCCCAGAATCCTCATGAGAAGGCTATGCCCACATCATTCAGCTGCGACCTGATTGACAGGGTAAACTCCATCCCTTCACTCTTAATAGCCTCAAGTTGACATGAGATTATAAAACTACCACAAGACCTAACACAGAGTTTGATAAAGTTTAGCTACAGATGTGTAATCTTAGCCTAACTATAAAACATTAAAAATAGGATTGGTTTTTAAGCAATCGATTTGAATCTATGTGAAAAGTTAATTCGTTAATTCTGAACTTTTGGAATTAGTTCAGGCTTTTAAATGTTATGTTGCATACTTCTTTTTCATTTTATTTTGCATAGCAATACTAGTCCATGGGACTAAAAGCCCATAGGAACCACAATCTTTCAACTTGAGACCAGATGATCTAGATGGTATTCTCTACCAATTGTTCTGCCACAAGAAAAGGTCTCAGATGGAGACCACAGAGAAAAAATTAGAACAAACTCAAATTCCTAAAAATGGTCAGACCTACTGGACTAATATTGTCTAAAGGGACCCCTGAGACTCACCCTAAGATAACTTATCAACATGGAATTGAAACTATTTCTACAAGTCATCTTCCAGACAAACAATGGATTGGTTTATAAAGCAAACAATATCATCGAAGATTAATGTTCTCCCTTAAACAATGAACTGTATGAGATCAAACAGTCAACAAGTATTCAAAGGAAAGATGACAAAGCAAGAAAAGGAAGGGAGGCAACGTCAATGGACTTGGAGCAAACGAAAGATATAATTGTCACTAATGGCATAGAAAAATGTGTATAAAATTGCTAAAGGGGAACCTAATCTGCTATGGAAACATTCATGCAGAGTACAGATAAAATATTATTAATTGAGCTTTGTTAGAACTTTCATATATATTTTCATATATATATATACCCATTCCTAAATAAAGTATATACATATGTATCCACACACACATATATGTATACACTCATAAAGAAAATCCCCTTCAGTTGGTTGGTTGCTCATAGCTTATTTTCTCATGGAAGTGACTGCATTATAAGAGGTGTCATCATGGGGTTGACTAAAATATAACATTCAAACTACTAAGAATCATAGGCCAGACAGGCTGGCATACCTTAGCCATCACAACTTATTAATGACCTATAATATGTGATTGACACAACCTTGTGTGTCGACCAGGTTGACTAAACAAACCCAGTGACACTCACATATATGTAAGAATTATCTTTATATCCAGAAGTAATTTTATATCACAAAAAACATCCCAGTCCAGTCCAACTCAAGTCCATAAGTCCAATACTAGTCCACAAGTCCCCCATGCAGTCACAAGCAATGATGCAGAATGCAGGCAGAGTACAGGCTGGTAGGGGCAAACTCTTGTGGATCCAATGGCACTGGCTACATCACAGGGCTCACACAGGTCTTAGAATGGCTGTGAAGGTGAAGACAGAGAGAGAGAGGCCGGCTTCCAGAGAGCCATTTATCATGGTCACACCTCCAAAGGAGATCAAGTTGCAACCTGATTGACAGGCTAAACTCCACCCATATCTTTTTATAGGTGCCATGTTGGCACCAAAAATCTAACTAGCACGCTTTGCTTACATTACTGAACATAAAAACTGCAGCTGTTAATATGCATGTTTCTTTATGCACCTCAACCTAAAGAAAACAATAATCCTCATAACTTGATTTGTAAGCAACATTATGATAAATGGAGAAAATATTGACGTTGTCAAGAATTTCATTCTACTTAAATCCACAATTAATGGCCATGCAAGCACCAAAAAGAAAAGAAAAGAAAAACCCCACATTCATTACCATTAAGTTAAATCCAACTCAGAGTAACCCTACAGAACAGAGGAGAACTCACCCTGTGGGTTCCCCAGACAGTCAGTCTCTACAGGAGTGGAGCATGGGGCTGTTGGTCGTTTCCAGCTGCTTACTCTTTCAGTTAGCAGCCCCGCTCCTAACCCACTGTCCCTCCAGGGTCCTTTGCCTATGGAAACAACAGAGAAGAAATCAAATGGGGCATTACATTGGATAAATTTGCTACAAAAATCTCTTTAAAGTATTCCAAAGCAAAGATGTTACTTCGAGGACTAGGGGTGCATCTGACTGAAGTCATGATGTTTTCAATTGCTGCATATGCATGTGAGAGCTGGACAAGGAACAAGGAAGACGGAGGAAGGACGGATGTCTTTGAATTACCCTGGGATCAAAGAATATGTAATCTACCGTGGTCTTCTAGAAGAACGAGCGCATCTCTTAGAAGAAGTACAGCCAGAATGCTCCTAGAAGTCAGGATAGAGAGACTTTGTCTTAGGTCCTTTGAACATGTCATCAGGACGGCCCAGCCCCTGGAAAAGGACGTCATTTGGTAGAGGGTCCGTGAAACAGGAAGACCCTCAGTAGATGGATTGATGAGTGGTCTCAGCAATTAATTTACGGTGATGGTGCCTGGTTGGGCATTGTTTCCGATATAAAGGCTTGTCTTCTAAGGCGTCTCTGCATAGGTTCCAACTCTCTGAGCCAGTAGTGAGACACTTAACTGCTTGTGCCACCCAAGGACGGAAAACCCAGGTGGGAGCTCCGGAGAGAATACAGAGAAGAGGAAAAGCTGTCCCATGGTTGGGTGAGGGCAGACTTACTGCCCCAAGGATAAACGAAAACAAGACCCAAACCAGCCCAGATCCACTTCCTACACCTAGCAACCCTAAGAGCAGAGATGCCCCACCCCAATCCCCCAGGGTTTCCAAAGCGGCAAATCTTTATGGAAGGCTGTATCCATATCTTTCTGGTGTAAGCAGTTGGGGGGGGGGGTTGTCCAATTGCTAATCTCTTTATTAGCAGAGCGCTTAACCATTTTGCCACCTTGGCCCTGCCATAAACGATGCATCAAAACTGTGCCCTAGGATCCGAGACACCGTAGCCAAAACCGCAACTGGAGAGCCCCCTCTGCCGGGGCATTCCCACTTACTTCCCCGGAGGCGAACCTTTCCGCAAGATCTAAATCCAGCCTGCTAGTCCGTCCTGCTCGGGCACTTCTGAAAACCTGTTGGTGGCTCTGGAACCTTAGTCTGACTTTGATGGTGGCCGTGATAACTTGGCGCGGCGGCGCCCCGCCCCCTTCCCCGCCCACCTGGTTCTGCAGCCCGTTTACCCTGGGCGCCGGGGTCGACCAGAAACTCGGCAGCTCGGCTGCCCGCAAGGCCCGGAAAGTGGAGTTCGTTCTGGGCCGCGCGGCGCGCGCTCGCTCTCGGCGAGGACACTGGGCATGCGCGGCGCGCGGCTGGCTCCGGCCGCGAGCGGACGAGCGGGCGGGCAGGTTCAGACTTCACAGGCAGCGGCGGGCGGGCGCACGGGGCTGTCTCGCCGCGCGCGGGGCCCGGGCCGTGCCAGCCGGGAGACCGCTTCTCTGTGCTGGACGCGGACGGCGGCTGTGCGGCTCCAGGAGGGTTGGGAGGGCGCGGTCGGGATCGGGGGGCTTTTCCTGGCCATCTTCTCCCTCGCCCGTGTATGCGGACCCTCCAGGGAAAGAGCCGCGGCCCCCGGGCGGATCCGAGGTAAGAGCCCCTTTGGCGACCCGCGCCCGCCGGGGATCCCGCGGCGCTGCTGCTTGCCGAATTTTAAAAAGCCGCCTTTGTGTCCTGGGTCCGGAGCCGTGCCTGGCGCCGCATCCGCCCCCATTCACTTTGATTGCTTTCAACTGGTGTTTGGAGCCAGGTGTGTCGAGGGCTCTGCCGCCGGAGCGCGACGGCGCCGCTGGTGCCCGTGCCCGTGCCCGTGCCCTGCCAGTGCCGGTGCCGGTGCGGGCGCCGCAGAGCTCCCGCTGCACCCGGGCCCGGCCCGCGAGCGCAGGAGCCATCCACGGTGTCTCTGTCCTGTTTCCTAGTAACCTGAGCTCCGCACATACACCTGCGACGGTCTGCTCGGTGGGGCGACGACCGAGGGTTCTCACGGCTGCTTTGCTTAGACGACGTTTGGGGGGAGCTCCTCTGCCCATCCTACCTTCCCACCCCCACCCGGACGGGGGTGGGCTGGGGTGTCTCTTTCAGAGCAGCCTTTCCTGTGCACCTTTCCACAATGTCAGATAGCTCCTTGCTTCTGAATAGTTGTCCTCCACGAATTTCTGTTGGCTTTCCCTTCGTAGTCCCACTTTACTCACCATTTTACTTTTTGGGGAGACGGTCTTTCTCGTGTGCGGAGCCTTTGCAACGGATGGTTTCACACCGCCTCTGTAGATCATGCGGTGTCTCCTGCGACGCTAACTCTTTCCTTTCCTTTCAGGGGTTAACCATAAGCAGTATCTTGGCACCGAGGGTTCAGTTCCTTTCCAGTGTTTCTGGAATCGTTCATTTCCCTTCGCGTCCTCTAGTTCTGCTGGCATCTGCTCGGGGGCAGGACGCTCTGGTGTCAGGATTTGAAATCCACACACATCCAGAGCGGCAGGTAATTAGAAGTTGCAATCCTCCTCTACAAATTGCCCTTCTACGGGCTGTATTGATGCTTTCTGAAAAGTTTCAGCTCCTGCCTTGGACAATAAGGGCTGAATGGGTAAGCTAGTATGTCTTCGGAAAAGAGGCGGGGCGGGGCAGGGGGCTGGTGGGTTTAATTTAGATATTTTATATCAGGTAACTAGTTGGAGTTTGGGCTTTGCCATTTTTGAGAGAGAGGAGAATTAGGATTCTGGGGAGACATCTTACTTTGAAAACAAGCAAGGAAACACATAAACAACAAAGTTACTATTGCTGTGCCGTTGCTTCTAATTTAATTTCTCTTGAAAGGATACCATTCTTCTCCAGCGCTTCGGGTTTTGGAGAGTGTGCACTGGTAATTTAGGGAATGTGGTACTGAGCCCATCTACATTAAAGGGAGTGTCACCTCTTTCCCAGGTGGCAGATTCCCTCTGGGACTGGAGTGTTCTAGACCTACTGCTGGAGCGCTCAGGTTCTTGGTGCCGGCATTTTTTGGCCACGGCGGCACACCTTTACTTAACATTTGAAAATTCAAGCATCTTTTATAGGCTCTATATACACGTTTGAATCAACTGTGTGGACACATGTGATAACGACTTTCTCAAAAGCTTTTGTACAAAGTGAAGAGTCTTTTAAATAAATTCCACAAGTCACTCATTTAGTTCACAGCCGAAAGACAGAAAAGGTGACAGGAGGAGACTATCTGCTTTACTCAGGTTCTGAGATAAACCACCGTGCACACCATTCTGTACATTCGCTCTCTTTGTAATGCCCCCGCTTCTGTTGTCTTTGATTGCCATTATCTTTTATTCTTAGTGAGGAATACTCTTACTGAGATTGTATTTACGGTGATTTTTTTTAAAGATTGATTTTTTCCCCATTTGCTCTTTATCAGTACACCCAATACCTGGTTTTGAAGCGTTTGATTAAATGTAAAGATTGCGTCTTAAAAAATGGTTAGCTCTTTTCCTGCCTTCCAGTGTTCACTCTGCTTTGATTCACTTACCAGCCCTTTTTTACCCTCTAGACTTGCGACTCTGCTTTCCTTCTCTTCCTTTGATACTTTTCAATCCTAGCCCTTTGTCTTTCTTCACTCTCTACTACATAACCTTTCACCCACTGCTTTTTAATAATCTCCCAACTTTCCTCTTTTCTTCAGTCGATTGTATTAAATTCTGCCGAAGCTCCCTGGAACCGCGGGTTGTATCAGAAAAGTGTGTGTGTGAACACTTTTTAAAAAATTCTCTATGTGTTTAAGGTTTGGGGTATTTTAGCATGTATTTGATTTGTATAAAATTTGAATTAGCTCTTCTGAGTTGTATTAAGCATGTTTGGATCATCACAAAACAACACAAGTTAATGATAGGTTACAAGTTTTCAGACATCTGCAATGGTATGTAAGGAGAGAGAGAGAGGGAGGCAGAGAGAGAGAGAGAGAGAGAGAGAGAGAGAAAGGAAACTTAAAGTACTCTGGCTGTGGTACATCCCTTCTGAGAATTACAGCCTGAAATTGTTTGCAGCTGTTAGTGATTGAAAATATTTTCTTAAGGGAAATTCTGTAATGGAATAGTGGCGAACACTTTAAGTTGAATATATGCAAGCAAAGTGTGTTGTTCTTTAGTACTCTACTGCAACCTCAGTGCCTGTCTATACACATTGTTTAGTATGGCTTTTGATAGACTTTATTCTTTATAACAATTTTCAATTTATAGAACAATTGCTAAAGATAATGGAGCTCCCCCATAAGCCGTTACCCAGCCTCTTCTCATTCATGTTTTACATTAGTATTGTATACTTGCTACAATTACTGAACCAGTACTAGTATATTATTATTAACTAAGAAGTCCTGGGGTGGTATAAGTAGTTAACATTCTCACCAAAAGGTTGGAAATGGGAGCCCATCTAGAGATACCTGGGGAGAAGGCCAGGTGATCTACTTATGCAAAACCTGCCCTGGCGAGCCCCATGGGGCACAGTTCTACACTGACACACATGAGGCTGGCCTGGCTCGGTATCAACTTGATGGTAGTTGGTTTGGTTTTATCATTAACTAAAGCCCATGCTTTATTTGAATTTCCTAATGTTATCTAATGCCCTTTTTCCCCTTCCAAGATGCCATCCAAGTGTCCTTAATACTTTTAGGTAGGTACCTTTGTGAGTCTTTCTTTGTTTTTTTTTTATGACTTTAAAGATTTCGGGAAGGATTGGTCCAGAATTTGATAAATTGTACCTCCTTGGGATTTCATGATTTGACCGGGGTATAGATATATGGGAGGAAGATCCCAGAGATGAAGTGCTTTTTTATCACATCATATCAATGTATGATTAATGGGTGTTGATGTTGATCCAGATCAACCACTAGGCTGAGGTAGTGTTTGGCAGTGTCTCCACTCCTCTTGTTCTGTGCTCCCTTGAAGGACATAACTGTTGGCAAACCACACTTAAAAGAGTAGAGAGTTGTGCCCCATTCCTTGAGTGCAGAGGAGGCCTGGTGGCGTAATGAATTTTGCCTTAGGCAGCTCACTGCAAGGTCTGCAATTTGAGAACCCCAGCTGTCCCTTGGGAGAAAGATGAGGCTTTGGGCTCCTGTCAGATTTACTGTCTCAGAAAACCAAAGGGCTCACTCTCCCCTCTCTTACAGGTTGCTATGAGTCAGAATTGACTTGATGGTAGTGAGGTGGTTTTTCCTTGAGCACAGAGTTATCACTTTAGAGTATTTGAAAATTTTCCACATGCGAAATTTGTCTCTTCATTTACTTTTGTTCTCAATAATTTATATTAGTATGGATGAGTGGGTATTTGCTGGTGGATATGTAAAATTTGGATTTATAATTCATTACTACTTTGTTTTGTAGTTCAAATTGTTCTGGTGTAAGCCACTGCGAGCTCTTTTCAGTGGGCTCATGTCTCTTGATAATATACCTCCATTCATGAGAGAGTTTTTTTGAGGGGGCGGTGGTGGTGGTGGGGGACTTCCTTTTTTCTGACCTGACGTGATGCTACGCATACTGCAGAAATGCAAGGCTACTGCTGTTGACTCACTGGTGACTCACAGTGATCCTCTAGGGTATAACTACAGAGGGGAACTGCCCCACGTGGTTTCCAAGGCTGACAGTTTATGGGCGCAGATTGCCACATCTTTTTCTCGTGGATTTGAGCCACAGGCTTTTAGCAGCCAAGTGTTTCAGCACTGTGTCAGCAGTGCTCCGCAGAATGCCCCAGGCTCACCTTGTATAGTTCCTGCCCCAGTCTTACAGTCAGTCATTTCCAATAATCTGTTTCCTTTCCTTGGAGAATGGTATTAGAATCCAGGATTTAGGTGGTAGCTGTGCTTGTTGCCACTGGTGTCACTGCTTCTAGGCCCTCTCATTTGACAGAACAAGAAAATATTTGCCTGTACACTTAATTGGACCATTGGACAACATCATGATAGATGCAAAACAAAAATTGAAGTCGTCAATTATTTAATTCTGTTTGGACCATCAGTCATTGCCCTTGGATGTGGAAGTCAAGAATTCAAACATATTTCAATGGGTAAGCGTACTGCGAAAGACTTCTTCAAAGGTTCAAAGAGTAAAGATATAATTCTGATGACTAAGGTGTATATCTAGAACAAACTGTAGGTATCCTTAATGAAGAATGGGAATTCTAGAACCCTTCATTATGCTCATGTGTAACCTGTCCATGGATCAAGATCAGTTGTGCAAACAGAACAAAAGAATACTGCATGGCTTAAAATCCAGATAGATGTGTTATGGTTAGAGTCTCTGTATGCTGAGCAAGTAATCAGAGACACTGAATTATATGACAAGGAATGTAGCATCAGGTTTGGAAGAAGGCTTATTAACCACCTGTGATAAGCAAATAACACTTGACACAATATTGCTTGCTGAAAGTGAGGAGGACTTGAAGCACTTGCTGATGAACATCAAGAATTAGAACCTTCAGTATGGATTATGCATAGAAATGCACTTCAAACCAAACTCAATGTGAAGAAAGCCAAAATTCTCACAACTGGAACAATAGGTAATAGCATGATAAGGGGAGAAAAGCTGGTGCAGTACAGGATTTTGCCTTGCTTGGATCCA